TTTTGACACAAGCAAAAACCCAAGCAAGTAGATCCAGCATTCAATATTCTTAACTGGAAACAATGTATTAATACGTTATAATATATTATAAATACATTTACACTAGCCTAAATAAAGAAGGGGCGTAAAGCTGGTCAATAAATAGTACCTGTTTACTCTTTACATTAGTGAGCATGGGTTTTATTGGACTTCTTTGAACCTGATTCTTGATCCCGGTCTTGTAAAAACTTTTAAAGTCTTGGTCTTGGTCTTGGGTAGATTTTTTAATGTCTTGGTCTTTGTCTTGAAGCATTCAGTCTTGGTCTTGGTCTTGAGCCTAAATGTCTTGGTCTTAGTCTTGGTCTTGGCCTTTACTGTCTTGACTACATCTTTGCAATTAACTCAATCTACCGTGTAAATTTGTGAAGTTTTAAGTTGATTATTAAACAAGATCTGTATGTATGTTTATTATTCAAGTTTTTATGAATGCAAAATTTATTATACAAGATTTGCAAGTATGTAAAGTTGAGTGTTATACAAGAAATTTCAAGAGGCACTTTATTGACAACATTTTATTGAAATTTGAACAAAACAGTTTTGTTCCAAGTAAAGGATGCCAATATGCAGGCTTGGACAGGAATGGTGTGCAATCGAGCGCTATTGCTGACCACGCAAATGATTTTATTTTTTGACAACTTGACCACAATTGTTTAATAAACAATGTTTATGTTTTGATAAGTTAAAAATTTCAGAAATGTTCTGAATGTAGAAACGCTAAGCTAAACTTAAACTAGGAAAAAATTAAAAAAAAAAACTAACGAAAAAAGAAACGAAAAACAAATTCATAACGAAAAAGAAATCATATAAGCACTAAAATGAAAATAAAAACTTAAACTCGAAGCAAAACTTTTCGTTACGTTTTTAATTACGTATAAAATAAACGTTAAAACTTATCTTTCTAAGCGTTATTAAAGTTACGCAAAACGTTTTTAAATTAAATACTAACGATTGATTTAATAAAAGAACAAATTTTATTAAATTTATTTAAAAATAGGTAATTTTATTTAAAAATAGGTAATTTTTTTTAAGGAGACTCACTAATTTCATGCTCTAATTAGTGAGTCTTCTTAAAAAAAAGGTTTTGAACTTTTTTATTTGTAAAAATAGAAAAATAAATAAATAAAATGCGCCTGCAATTTAAATAAAATAAACTGCCAACAAACTTTATTATTTAATTTTAATTTGAGCATTACAACTTTATTAATAAGCGCTTCGCGTAACGAATTTAAAAATTATTATAAAAGATTTAATCTCATTCATTTTTAACGAAATTGAAAAAAAAAAAAAAAAAAAAAATTGTTTACAAAAGATAAAATGTTTATTTAAAACATTTTAAAAAATCGTAAGTTTAATCATAAAAGTTAATCGTATGAACATTACAAAATGCTTTAAAACTTTTTCATTAAATCAACAAAATACATGCTTATATTAGTAAATAAAGTTATTTTATATTCTTGTGTAATTCACATAAAATGTGTAAAAGTTAGTCGTCACAAAAGCTTTTGAACTTATTCACAAATTAAAGTAACTTAAAAAAATTCTTTCTAAAATAAAATGGTTTAAAAATATTTTAGGAAGACAAGAAAATAGTTTCAAAGGTTTAAATTTATCATAAAAAATAAATGCCTACATAAAAAAAACTTATTTATAATGTTTTTTATTAATTTACACAAGCGTTTATGTAAACAATAACTATAATTAATTTTATGGTTTTATTTAAAGCCTTTGCTTAAAATAGAAAACTTTAGAAAAGATCAACGATTAACAGAGATTTATAACATAACACTTTTTTTATTGCATTCAAATTGTTAAAACATCAAAAAAGCCGTGGTCAAGTTGTAAAGAAATAAAAATATTAGCGTGGTCAGTTACAGAGTGCGATCGCACGCCATTCCTGTCTAAGCCTGATATAATATGCTGGAGTATTTTGATTTTTTCATCCAAGTATTAGGAGTAAACAAATCAGTTGACATTATTAGACTTTGCAAAAGTGTTTGTTACTGTTCTGCACAAAAGGTTATCAATTAAATTAGAGGCATATGGAACTTATCATGAGTAAGATGTCTCTAAACTCTAAACTGGAACTTTATATTTGATAGTTTTGAATACAAAAAAACACCCTTTTAATTTCAATCTTGATAAATATAATACTATGCACATCAGAAAGAAAAATTCTTATGAATGAATTGTTTATATATATTTATATATTACTAAAAAAAAGTAAAGCAATTGATTTTGGTGTAATGATATCAGATGATTTGAAATAGGAACATCATATATATACAAAAACAATGATTCACTTGCATCTAAGGCAGGGCACCATATAAGAAGCAATGTTAAAAATTCAAAAGTCCTTAAATTAAAAAAATATATAAATTATGTAAATTATGTTAGTGTATTCTACAAATAGAGTGCTCAATGTTCTTAAAGAACAGAGCAATAATAATTTAGTAAAAACACTTATCTAATTGTTGTGCTCTTCAACAGCATGTTTCACCATCAGTAGGTTTATCAGGAATTTATATATGTATATATATATGTATATATATATATATATATATATATATATATATATATATATATATATATATATATATATATATATATATATATATATATATATATATATATATGTATATATATATATATATATATATATATATATATATATATATATATATGTATATATATATATATATATATATATATATATATATATATATATATATATATATATATATATATAATGATATTTTGTATTTGCAAATAAAATGCAAAATATCTTGTATGTATAAGAGTGTTCAATAGTAAACAAATTCTTTAATAGAGAGCTTCAGTACATACATTGACTATCTTATAACCTGCTACCAAATAGGAGAGCCATTTTGTATGGTAAAAATCTTTTAATATCGAAAAATATAAAAACGACATTGAATTATCTAAGGAAGTATGGAGGCTAAAAGAAAATGGAGTAAGCTTGACAATTGAATGGAAAATTGTAAAACGTTGTAGATCTTACAATCCCACAGTAAAACGTTGCAATCTTTGTTTATATCTCAAAAAATCTTACACCAATGACAACTTATTAAGTGAGAGGAATGAATTAGTTTCTATATGTAGACATAAAAGCAAATTTCTTCTTTCAAAGTTCGATTTGGGTGATTAGGCAGCCATTTATAGTTTTTTCTTTTTTCTTTCTGTTGTTTGTTGTTATGCCAACGAAGCACACTTCATTGTAACTTTATTTTTAAACGTTTTTTTTTATTTCTTGATTTTGTATTACATGGTCGATGATTGCATTTAGGCATGAAACTATTAGTACCATAAAAAGTTATATTTTCTTTGTTTACAAATTTATATATAATGCTCTATTAAATAAATAAACAAACCCTATTTGTTTATTATAGAAAAATAATAAACAAATAGGATTTGAAAATAATAAGCATTTGCTCACTAAGCAAACTTAGTGAGCAAATGCTTATCTAAACAAGCTATAGAAGATGTGTATATATATATATATATATATATATATATATATATATATATATATATATATATATATATATATATATATATATATATATATATATATATATATATATAAAGAGAGAGAGAAATATCCTTTTATAAAGCTTACAAGCAGGTTGAAAACTAAAAGAATAAATAATCTAAGAGAAGGAGATATAGAAGAATTACAACACACTGTAAAAAGATTTAAATGTAATTCCTTTACTGATCATAAGACTATTTTATGTAGTCCAAATTTATCACTGCAACCTCTTTGACTTACAGATAGAACATGAGGTGAATTTAAAAATATATTGACATAAATTCAATTTGTTCCTCCTGGATCATAAATTTTTTTTTTCTTATTACAGACTCTAAACATTGCGAATAGTTATTAATAGTGATATTAAAATCATATTTCCGAAAAAAATTGTCATTAAAAAACATGAAAAAATGAACTTTTTTCACGTTTAGTTAAAAAACCATAGCTATTTTGCAATAAAATCTAAAATAATAATTTTTATATGAAAAAATTATTATTTTCTGAAATTTTTATAAAATTTTGCTTCATTTGAGTACCAACATCACATAATTTTGAAAAACTTTTTTTTTGAAAAATAATAGGGCCTGCTAATTTTTGTAATTAAAGTTGTGGGTGGAAGACATTGTTCAATCCATAGAAGTAAATACTTTCCTAAATTAGTACATAAAAAAACAACTTTCTAGACCATAGCCAGGTTAGCAACTCTATAAAAAAATTTTAGACCCACCCTAGTATAGAATATTCGAATATCTTTAGATATATCAAAGTATTTTTATAACGATTATCAAACGAGAAATAATCTATATACAATTTGCAAAACAAGAGGTGATGATAAATCTGAATTTCAGAATATAGCCACTATGAAAAGATTACATTTGCAGTGAGGGCGATTTGAAGAGGCAAAAAAATTTTTAATTTTTTTAAATTTTAATTTTTAAGTTAAATTCTTACAAATATAATTTGGATAAAAATTAAAAACTTTAAAAAGTATGTTTTGAAACATGGAATTTGCAGTCTTCAATTGTTGCTGGACACTATGGAATGAACAATATTGCTTCCTAGCCATTAAGAAAGGAGATTGCAGCAAAAAAAGTTTAGAAATTTATTAAAAACAAAAAGAAATTCCAGTAGCAGTTTCATAAATTTGCCATTCAAAACTTGGAAGAATATTAATTTGTTCTAGATGGCTGCCTAGCTATAATATAAAACTTTTTATGAAACTGTGAAACATTTTGACACTATTTTTTTTATGAAACTGTGAAACATTTTGACACTTTTTTCTCCTCAGATTTAACCTAAAGAACTCAACAAATTACTCAACAAATTACTCAACAAGTAACTAAACAAAGAGTTGCTTATAACATGCATGTACGCACAAAAAACACAATGGTCAAAAAGAAACATAAAGTACCAATTGGTGAAAAGTGACCACCACCAGTTTGATTTAGAACACTTCTTGAATAAGAACAAGTCAACACTTTATCCTGTCCAGCACATATCTCTTCAACAACATCTCGAAAACTTTTTATATTTTCATTATCATCTGTTCGCACAACATTTAAATCAAGATTATTACAAGTAGCAAGGCAAACAAACTGATCTAGTGTGATTCCATTTTGTTGAACTAAATCTAAAGATAAACAACAGTCAAGCATTTCTTCATGATACCAGCGCCAAGGCCCTTTCCAAACACGTTTTGGATCAACCTATATTATTAAAAAAATAATAATAATATACTCCAACTAGTTTTTGAATATAATAATTAATTTATATAAACAATTTCTAATTCATTATTATCATAACATAAATATTAAAAAATATGAAGCTAATAATCTATTTTTCAAAAATATTCTTGTAATTTTTTAAACATTATAAACCAAGATATTTACTAGTTTTTCTAAGCTTTATAAAACTTATGTTTTTATTTAATATTATAAGTTTACAAAAATTATAAAGATTTTATTTTAAATAAAGATTTTTTTCTTATGCAATAAATTAAAACATACAGCCAAACTGTTTAAAATCATAACCAATGTCGATATTCCACAATATGCTGGTTCAGCTTGTGTTCGAAACTGTTCTGCTAATGGAAAGTATATGTTTGCATAACCGGATAATAATGATTCTTTAAAAACTTGTTTTCCTTCTTCACTACTAAAAGCTAAACAGCATGCAGGTAACTTTCGACGATAAAACTGTTCGTTGCTATTGCTTGTTTGCTGTTTATCCTCCAAGTACCAAGGTCCAATGCTACTTAAATTAGGGTTTAATGTAGAGTACAAACCAGTGGTATAATAGAGCACCTGAACACACACAAATGCATAAAATTATAATTATATATATAAATATATATATATATATATATATATATATATATATATATATATATATAATTTTATATAAATATATATAATTGTATATAATTTTATATATATATATAATTTTATATAATTATATATATATATATATATATATATATATATATATATATATATATTATATATATATATATATATATATATATATATATATATATATATATAATTATTCACATGTAAAAAAACAACTATTATTAACTACTATTTTTGTTAATAAGATTAACAAAAATAGTAGAAAATCTAGAATTTGTGAAAGTCTTTAGTTTATATGTTAGCTATGGCATTAAATTGATGTTATATCAGGTGTTTACTTCATATTTGTTTATACTATTTATAAACAAATTGTAAAACTTTTTTCTTTTAAAACGGCAAAACAAGAATATTATAATAGGTATCATGTAAAAGTAAAAATAATTACAAAATGGTGTAAAAAATTATATCCACAAACCCTCTAGCCAGAAAGATTTTTCAAAGTTTTTACCTCACCCAACCAACAATATAGTAACCAATGCAGATAAGGTGGGGGTCGGGGAATACATGCATAAGAAAAAATTACAAAAAATTTAGGCAGCTGGATTTTTTTATGCAGTATAAAATATTTATATACTAAAAATTTATTTTAACATTTTTATTTTTTTCATTTTTATGTTATTCACCTCCCGAAGGCTGGGAGGGCCACTATAGTTGAGAGGCTACTCTTTCGAATGTTTCAAATGGAAAACAAACTAGATAAATATCTTAACTCAGTGTTTGTAAACAAAGAAACACCAACCACATCAAAATATGAATATAATACATAGTTAATACAAGATTAGTATGTATGTAAAGTTTAATATAAAAGATTTGTATGTATGTAAAGTTTATTATACAAGTATGTAAAGTTTATTATACACCAAACCAAAAACCATGGGTTTTTTTAAAAAAACCAAAAAAACCACGGGTTTTTTGGTTTAAACTAATTATTTTTTTAAAAAAGCCATGTTTAGTTAAGCATTAGTCATTTTACTTGAGTAAATTATATATTCTATTATCATGCTATAATTCATCAACCAATATATCATTATTTAATGTTATGTATATAAAAACAAGCTTTGCGGCTTTTTCTACTCCCATCTTGATTCTTAACTTGGAATGAACAAGCCCCAAAGTCAAAAAAATTCTTTCAAACCAGCACTAGAAGCTGGTGCATTTGACAAACCTTCAATATCCATGATGTTGCAGTCCAAAGATTTACGAGATTTCTACCATTCTATTGGTGTGACATTTGTTAAAACAGATTCACTATACAAATAGCTTTTATCATATGGAGCAGATTTGCCTTTCAACTTGAATATTACTGGTAACAAGTTTGTAAATACTTTATCTCTAAAGGTCATTGCAGCTTCATTTTCAGAAAGATTAGACCCAAAATATCTAGGAACTAGCATGTTTGCAAGGAAATGAGCATCACTGACAGTCTGAAGGTATCTAGTTTCCGATATATATTTTTTTCCGCTGATAAAAATGATAACTTGTTTATCAGCTCAATAAAAATTTCAACAGTTTCACTTATTTTTGTATGATCTCTTTGCAACTTATCTAGAGCAACTCCAATTGGTTTTAATATTTTCAACAAAAAAATTAGCTTGGTTTAAATCGATATTTTTTGGTTTAAACCATTTATTTAGGTTTAAACCTATCAACCCTGCTTATTCAAGACACAACTTATTCAAGTCACACTTATTAAAGTCTTAATTGCAGCAAAATGACTAAGTTTAAACTACATCTTCTTTTTTTTTTTAAATAAAGCTTTTCGATTAAATACAATAATGGGTTTTGTTTACTCTAGTTACAAATAAAAACATGTAAATTTAAAAAAATAACACTGAAGTCAATATAACAGAGAAAGGTTGATTTTTTTTGTATTAAGTCTAATAATATAGCAACCCATCGTAGTCTCAAACTATGTTTATTCTACTTATCAAAAACCTTCTGAATTGTTGACTATTGAATGTAATTTTGGCTTAAATACAGCAAATTTGAATTTCAGTTTCTTAAATTTTGTTGTAAAAGTTCTTATGATTAATTTTGAATGGCCCAAATTAATATTGGAAGTCCAAAAAAAATTTTTCTTTAAAAAAATAACAGATCATTGATGGCTGACCACACATTATCTCAAGCTGTTTATCACATCAGTGAGCATGAATGGCTAAGTTTTACTTAAAAACCAATACCAATTTCAAAACCTGAAATTCATTAAAAAAAGATAATAATTTTTAATTGCAAAAAGCATTATCTTTTTTCATTATCAACATTGCAAATTGGTAAAAGTTTTTATGAAAAAAAGCTTCATGTTTTAAAACTATGTACAGTGGTTTATTTTGCATTTTTTGTGGACATTTGGCTATACTTAGGAATAATCTCTTTATGCGGCATGGAAAAAAAAACATGGTTATGATATAAGTTTGAAATGTTTTTATACGCTTCATGAATTAAAAAAATCATTTAATAACTGTCGGACACCAAAAAGGATACTATTAAAAAAGGATACTGAAAAAGATCCAGCTGTAAAAAAATTTTAGGATACTTATATTCAAGTTTTTATGCAAAATTATCTTTTTATTATTGTAGGATTTTGAAAAAAAATTTTCACTAAAATTTTTTAAAAAATCCTACAATAACTAATAAATACTCAAATATTATAAATTATAGCGCAATATAAACACTATGAATTATAGTATATGCCCTAGCATTTATTAGTTATTGAATGATTTCATAAAAGATACAATTGTGAAAGTTTGACTTAAAAGTTTTTACATAAAATGAAATTTTTTGTCAACTATATTTTATGTCAAATTTTTAAAAGTTCGATGATTTTGTTTTAAATAAAAAGATTTAAAGATTAAAAACTTTTAAAATCACTTAAGTCATCACTTAAGTCATCACTTAAGCCATCACTTAAGTCATCACTTAAGTCATCATTTAAGTCATCACTTAAGTCATCACTTAAGTCATCACTTAAGTCATCACTTAAGTCATCAGCAAATTAATTGCGGTAATTAAAAGCATCAGAGAAATTCCAATCTCACAATTAGGAAACAATCAGATACCAGGCTATTATAATAAAACAATTTATACCATCAAAATTTGTATTTTTATTTTCATAATTATTTAAATTTACATAAATAGAGTAAATACTTTTATGCTAACATTAATTTGAAATAAGAAATTAAAATTAATTATAAACAACTAAAAGCATAGTAAAATCTTCAAAAGAGAAAATATAATTAAACATGACAACACTCAAAGAATATTGCTTAGCAGAGCATTGTTTACTTTAATAATTGACAAGAATGTCACTTGTGTATTTTACTACTACAATACTAAATGAAACACAAGCTAAAGGAAAAAATAGGTTAGGAAAAAATAAGTTGGAATACTGAAAATATTTATCGAAAATTTCAACACTTGAAAAAGAGAAAATCAAAAAAATAAAGTTATAAAAAGATGCTTTTTTTAAATATGGATCAAAAGAAGTCATTATAAGAATAAGTCCAAAAACTTACGAAAGTAGCACAGTAAGGGTGTTGACTTTTTTACAACACATATGTCCTATATTATTTTCTAATGAACAATTATGTATAACAACATAAAATGATATTCATTTACATTAACTTTTCAAAAAGATCACCACCAATAAAAAACAAAAATATTCCTAATCGGTTAGTAATCAATTTTCTTTTTTTTACATCTTAATATTAGACAAAATAAATTTTAAATTAAGTTTCTCAAAGTTTATACATCGAGGCAAGTCTTGAGCAACTTTTATTGCTCTTTCAGCACATATATTAGTGCACTGGATGTTTGCAACAATTGATGGTTCTTTAGTCTAATGTGTTTTCAAACACATTAGACTAAAGAACCATCAATTGTATTATATAATCTCTCCATTCTAAAATTTTGCAGTTTAAAGATGGACCACTGTTGTCAAATGCTTCGACAAGACTATCTTAATTTTCAAGAATGAATTTAATAAAAGAATAGTGTAAGTCAGGTGATGTAGACTTTTCAGAACATACAGAATCAATGACCAACTTCAAAACTGTCCAGAACATGATGGTTGACATGAAACATACTGTGGATTATCAAATCCAAGGTCACTAAATTTTTTTTGTAGTCTAGTTACAGTACCATTTTTTTTACCAGTATTAACAGCAAGTTCATTCCATGTCAACTCAACCAGTGATGTTCACCACATCATCTCAGATCTTCCTGAAATTTTCAGGGCTTGTTGTACAAAGTTAAGTAAGTGCTGAAATTTTTAGACCATTTCATCAAAAACTTTCTGAGATATGATTTTTTTAAAGTTTTAAGGGTTGTCGCGAGTTTACGTGACTTTTACGTTTTTGCAATATTTGAACGTGAATATTTCAAAAACTAAAACAGGTATCAGGCTGAAATTTTTAGCATTTACTCATTATTTCATCCTGAGTTTAATGGTGTTTTTATATCAAATGTAGCTTGCATACAATATCCCCTAAAAATGTCCAAACATTGCACTTTAGACAGTTTTCACCAATATTTGACTCAATATAGCCAAGAACCTATAAAACATGGAATGATGTTTGTCATACCATTAATAACTACCATATATGTGTTTATTATTTTCATAGAAAATTCATGTTAATCAATAATAGTGTACTCATTGTAGGCACTGTTATGCATCAATGTCATCAATTTTTGTGCGCATTGCGACCCCCAGATGACCATGTTGACAGTAATTCACACATTTCATATTTTGCACACTTATTAACCTCAGTAAGTACTCTAAAGATTCAATATTTATTGAATATGGCTGAACTGTCATTGTGCACATTTGTACTAATACTTCAAGATGAATGCCACAAGACAGTTCAGTGTTGGCTTGCATAACCTGTCAGAATTAT